GGGTTCTGCAATGTATAAAACAGTACAGACCTACAATCAAGTTGTAGCAATACCCAAGATAACACTGATGGAGGGCAATTCTGTTATTGGATGGGGGACTTGCTCAGATTTCAGATTAGCATGGAATTTGGAGTCAGCTGCCAAGAGGGGCAAGATGGAATTTTCAAGCAACTTTCATTTCATTTCGTTTTTGATATGCAAAAGGTTTATTAGATAAACTTTCCTCTTTGAACTAGAGCTGTTTTAAAAATAAAAGCTAAAAAAGAGCTTTACTCTGTTCTCCATAAAAAACTTGAATCATTGGCTTAAAGTTTTGCTTTCATGAAGCACGAAGTTTTCAGTCAAGAAGCTTGCATAATATATTCCTTATGGCCCTATCTGTATGTGGTTTCTTAGAAGGGCTGCTGATTGATATCTCAGAATTATTCTTGAATAATAGCCATAGTTTTCATTAGATACTGTTTTTTTGAAGTGTTCAGACTTGTTGAATTACATTAGATTTCCCTGTTCTCTGAAATCAAATTAATTTATTATAGTCAGTCACTTTTTAATAGCTTATCTTACAGTGGGCCTTAGAGACACTATAGAAGTTGACAGATACTTGTCCTTTTTTCCCTCTTACTTTGTCCTCCTGGCCCTTCTCTTTCCTCCGAGGAGACTCATGTGATAGTATTAAGTGCTCAACTTTTAGAGTCACAGAGACCTGGGTATGAATCCTTGTGACCAATGTGACCTATGGCAAAATTTTAAAAATTTCAAAATCCTGTTTCCTCATTTGTAAAGTAGAGATAATAATAATTGTATCATCCTCACAGGCCTTTTTTTTATTTTTATTTTTATTAAATAAGTTAAAAGCATGTCAGTCACTTAACGTAGGGCTGACACAGCAACATTAGATGACTCCTAATTATTATTATTTATATTTTACTATAATTATTATTGTTTCTGATCTATGGTTATAATTTATTCTGAAATCAAGTTCCTAGATTAATTTAAATTTATTTTACTGAGGTTGATCACCCACACTTCTTTGGCCCTGGCCTGAACCATCTCTTTTCCTCAGCCCTTTGTCTCTGTCCCCAGAGAGTGAACCCAGGTGGTCACATTCCATGTCTGTTGTCTCAGCAGCACAGGCTTCCAGAAGACCCTGGAGAAGCAGAGAAGCGAGGAGCCCAGGGTCTGGGATCAGGATGCCTGGGTTCAAATCCTGTTACACCCCTTATTAGTGTGATAACCTTAGGTAAATTACTTAATTTTTCTGGGCCTCTTTTCCTTACCTGTAAAATAGGAATAATACCTGTCTGTCTCCATAGGGGGATTATGGGAGGTAAATGAGTTAAAACATGAAAGTATGTAGAATGATGTCTGGCACAGAGCATAGGTTCTGTAAATGTTAGCTCCTAGTGTGGCTATTGCTATTTGTATCAATTTTGTTCTGCAAAGCTTTGTTTTAAACAGTGTTAATTTGTAAAAAAAAAAGAAAAAAGAAAAAAGAAAAAAAGAAAAATATAATCATAGTAATAATCTCGTATTAGATTTCTTAGATTATATGTATCATCATTTTGAGATCCAGTTCAATTCAAGAAACAATAATTAAATACCTACTGTGTATCTAGTGCTATGGGGAGGCGTACATTAGTAAGATATATTCCCTGTACTCCAGGGGCTTATAAAATGGTAGGCAAGTGAAGATATATTTGGGGTTAAGCATTACACAGGGCAAGCTGTTACTGTACTTTTCATATCAGATAAAAGGTAGCTCACAGGAGGCCTAGAGTAGTTCTGAATGCAGGGGAGTGAGCTGGGAAGGTCAGGTGAGGAGAGTGGGCATTTCCAGGTGAAGTGAATAGGAATTGGGAAGGTACCCGGTACTTGAGGAAGAGTAAATTGGACGCCTTAATTGGGGTGCCTTAAAATGGGACACAGCTGTGCCAGTGAGGATGCAAGTCAGTGAGCTGTCAGTGCAACATGGGGAAACGTGGAGAGTGAGGAGATGGAGGAGATGAAGTTGGCTCAGAAATGTTCCTATTGGTACTGAGGAGAGGATGTTGATATCATTAAAGGAAAATGATGGGAAGGAGATTAGGTTTTTAGGAGAAAGGCAGGTTCCACGCAGGACCTGCTGAATCTCAGAGTTAGGAGCCTAGTTGTGGGTCTTCCATTCTCAGAGGCCTTCTTAAAACCTCCTCTGTGGATGGCAAGGCAGATGTGAGGGTAATATGATTCCTGATAGATGCAGGTCCCCCGGGAGGTGACTTGCAGGGACCTTATAATTGAAGACTGAGCATCTAAAGGGACTTTGCTTGGCCTGTGGAGCCTCCTGACCCTCTCTTTCCTCAACATTTTCTCACGCAGCCTCTGAGTTCAGGCCGTGCCATCATCCCTCTGCATGGTGCGCAGAGGTGATACCCATTCGGTGGCACTGGCGTTTGAAATAGAGAGCGTTGACTTTTAACCTCAAAAAAATCCCTATGAAATTGTTTCATTAAGGGGTGTTGCCAGAGTGGAAACAGGAGAAACACCTGTCCCCCTCCCTTGCCCGGATGTGCTTTGACTCACTTAGTTTGGTTGGTTCTCATCAACATAAAAAGGCTCTAAGTGAAGAAGAGGAGGAGGAAGAAAAGAGTTATATTAATGGTACGATATTTCCTGGTCTAGAGAAGTACATTCCTTGGTGAAAATAGGTATGAATTTATATAGGGGTGAAAAGATTTTGCAAATAACCAATACTTCCTGATCTCTGTGAATAGCTGTATCGTTCACTGTCCTCATGGTGGCTAACATTTGCAAGCAGGAAGAAAGTGTAGAACATCTAGGAAGCCTTTTCTGCTGGGTGGCAGGCCTCATTATACTTCCTTTGAGTTAAGCATTTCTGTTTTTTTAGCTGTAAGAGGAGGACACAGTGTTGTAGGAGGTTTTGAGCAAGAGGCAAGAGTTTGGTACTTGGTGGATTGTTATCGCCCTGCAAGACCCTTCGCAACTTCCTCTCGCCGCCCACAGCAGAATACGGAAACCCTGCTGTATCGGGCCACTTCTGCAATTACAGTTACAATTCACGGGGATCCTTTCACACTGCACCCTTCTGTTTGGAGACTTTTCTTTGTATGTGAAAATGTGTCTTTTGTGGTGGAATGCCCAACTGAGCCCGCCTCTCCCCTCTCTCTTTGCTCCTCTGCAGTGCTGCAGTTGAAGCTCCAGCAGCGCCGGACGCGGGAGGAGCTGGTGAGCCAAGGAATCATGCCGCGTAAGTACCCCTCTCGCTCTTCCAGCGTTCGCTAGAGTTGCTTCTAGGGCATGGTTGTGTGTGTACCCAGTGTGCCACTGGAGGCATCCTGCAGAAAACAAGGGCGATAGGTTTCATCTTTCACCCTTCCTTATGCTTTTCCACGGTCAGGGACTCTCAATCACTAATAGTAAAGATGACTTGCCCTCATTGATCAAGTTCAGTGAAACAAACCGCATGAGGTTTAATGGTGCCATGGAATCACCTTTAGCTGTTGAAATGTGCCTTTAAAAGAGTTTCTACGCCCTGTTACACTTCCCTTTGTAGGAGGACCAGATCTTGAGTTGGGGTGTTGTGAGGAAGAACCCACTTCATGCTATGATTTGCCCTAGTGTTCAGGTTCTTGGGAAGGGAAACCTCTTTTCCACCTGGTGTTTGAATCCACTATGGTTTTATTTAGAGTGAGATTCTCAGATACCCCAAGGCTGGCCTGGGTGTGAGTGTTCTTGAATGGAGGCTTTGATGGGCTGTCACAGAGCTGGGCGTAGTGCGTGCAGAGGTGCATCACTGAGAGAGAAATGAAACCGACCTTGGAATCTGTTAGAAGAGTAAGAAAATGTGTGTCTAATATCAGCAGCATTCCGAACTGAGTGGAAGCTGGGGCCAGCAAGGTTTTGCTCTTTTTAACATTTCTTTAAGTCAACAGCAGAGAGCTTAGGCTCTCCGTCTCCTTTCTCTTCTTCTCTTTGTATGTTATCGCTACTTGGTACACCCTAATGAAGTAAAAAAAAAAAAAAATGTCATACAACAACTCCTAACTCCATAGAGGGAAAACTGATGTTTTTCACCTTAACTCAGTGCCTGCTGACCGACTGTCACTGTATTTCCCTAATTCTCATTCATTCAAAATATTTGAGTGCCTAGTATGTGCTCAGTGATATAGCAAGATAAATCCAGCTCCTGCTCACAGTTTGTTTAGAAGGAAAATGCTGATAATAAACAAGGAAACAAATAAATAGACAAGATAATTTCAGAGTATGGTAAGTGCTCTGAAGTAAATTAAGTGGTTGGTGTGTTAATAAGTCATAGGAGCAAGATGGGGTCAGTTTGGATAAGATGGTCAAGAAAGACCTCCCTGAATAGGAAATATTTGAGCTGAGATCTGAAAGATGAAGTAGAGTTAGCCATTCGGAAATAGGAAAAGGGCCCGGGGAGAGGGAAAAGCGAGTGTAGGCCTAGTGCAGGAAAGAGCCTGACATGTTTGAAAACCTCAAGGAAGCCAGTGTGGCTGGGGCCTGGTAAGTGAGAGGAAAGCAGGGGCAAGTTAAGATTGGTGCAGTGGGCAGGGCCAGAATGAGGCCCTTACCTGCCACTCAGAAGAAGTGGATTTTATTTTCAGTACCATGGGAAGCCATTGAAGGCTCTTAAGCAAGTGAGGATGGGATTTGGTTTACATCGTTGTAATGGCAGGTCTATTTCTATCCTGAGCATCAGCGAGGGGACTTAAGTTTCAAATTCATCTTTTTATTTACTGCAATTAACTACCAACCCATTTACCTACATTATGCTGTCGTCTTTTCTGGCTCTGAAGTGAAGGGTTCCCCATCCCCACCCCTGAAGTGTCAGAATGGATGGCTTGTACATCAAATCGGTAATGTGATGAGGAAGGGGGGGCAGTGTGCTTTACAGAGCACTCCAGCCCTGCCAATATGCAAACTTTTGTAGAGGAATAAGTGACCAAGAGCCTCATCTACTTGTCCCTTTCATCAAGGACATCGTGTGTTTAGCATCTGCCATGTACCCAGGGTAGTCCTAGATGCTGTAGAGATTAAAGAAGTATAAGGCATGGTACCTGCCCTCAAGACATTGAACAGTTTATCTGGGTAGCTAAAACTTACCCAAGTGCAAAATAAAGAGCAATTCAGTGCTGATCCGTGGAGTGCTGACTGTAATTACAGTGTTAGTTCTCAGAGCATAATGCTACTTCTGGGGATCTGTAATATGTTCAGGCTCTAAAAGCCGTGCGGAGGTGCTCTGCACTTTTCTTCCTGTCTTTCATTTGATCCCAGGGGCTACTGGCAATCACTGTTTAATAGGATTTATTGAGTACAGTCTCCTTGCTTAGTATTCCATGTTAATACAGATGATGCTTCAATTATTGCAGTTATCTGCTTATATGTTTGTCTCTCCAATTAGACTGAGAGCTCCTTGAGAAAGTACCTTATGTATATTTCTGTCTCCAGTGCCTGACACTGAATGACTGAATGAAGACAACCAGTTGTAAAGTGTGTGTGGAGTGTGTGTGTGTGTGTGTGATAGAAACAGGTACTCCAACCCTTAAAGGGCAGAGCAGATGGCCTGTACAGAGGCTGGATAATGTGCTTCACAGAACACTCCAGCTCCGAACTCCAGAACAGTGTTGCAAACTAGTTGGATTTCTGGGCATGGAGTTTGAAACAGCATTCCTGTTGTGTCAGGAGCCTAGGTTCTAAAAGGTTCTGAATATCTGATTGTATACTTTGGGTTGTTCTCTGTATCTGTGAACTGAGAATAATTGCCCTTCCTATAGGAACAGAGATGACCTGCTTCCGTGAGAATGCTGCATCTTCCCTCATAGCAAGAGCCACCTTCAGCTATGGACACAGGCTTGGTTTTCTGCTTTTCTAGTGAAGGAAGTTAGGTAGGAAACTCTTAGCGTATGAGAGAGAATGTCGAGGCCTGGGAATAGCTTCAGATATGAAATCCCCCGCTCACTTATATACCTGGTGATATACATATAGGATCCTGAGTTCCCAAAGATGAGGCTCATTTTTTTGCTAGCCCCCCACACTGTTAGTAACTTTGTAAATAACCCTACTTCCTCACCACAACCCTGTGCCCATTCCCCCAAGCCCCTATTGTAATCTACAATATTCTCCGCCTCCCTGACATCCCCACCATCTGTCATCTTCCACCAGCCCCATTTCTCACCCTCCACTCCATGGCTTTCAAAGAAAACATGAGCAGTGTTGGGGGCAAATCATAAATGATCAGCAAGTTGTTGTTGATGATTGGAGATTTGGAGACCTGAGGAAATAACACGTGGTTTGAAGTGCCCACTTCCATTCCCATCTTGCTGGCTTGAGGAGTTTCTGAAAAGTGTCTTTATATTTAAGTTTGTTTTACAATTTAGGAAGTAGGTAGGGCCCTCAAGCTGGGGAAAAGGAGCAGTGTTGTCATGGCTCTATTCTGCCTCATCATTTATGTGTTTACATCTTTTATCAAGTTCTTCTCATCCTAGTCTTGTCGCTGTGGGAAGAAAACCCCAGGCACACCATTTCCCAGAATGCTCACACACAGGTCCCATGTAGGCCTGGCTTCCAGTTCTGACATCACAGGACGCAGTGTCTTCAGTGGCTCTCTTGCCTTCAGGGTTGTTCATGTGTCAGCATACCGTTCAGAGTTGGGGGATGGCCTTTCCATAAAGTTCAGGGGATTAAAGAACCTCCCAACCCCTACGCACATCTCTGCTGCTTGATATGCTCCGTTCATGGCATCTAAACTATGGGGTACAGAAGTTGGTTTCTGGTGTATTTTTAAACAGGATCATTTCCCAGAATCCTTCATTCTCATTATGTAAACAGATGTCTCATTTAACACCACTTAAACCCTAAGAAATACAGAGTGCCAGATAGCAAAGGATTACATATTCCAGGCCCTGAGCTTTCTTTAATGATGTCTGAAGCTCTGCATGTCTTGAGGGAGAGGAGAGATGGCACAGGCAGGAAGTTGGTGTTTAAGCCCAAAGATTAAGACCAGGAATGCTGCTGTGTCCAGAATGACGCCTCATAGAAGAGATGGGTCACGTGTGGTGCACTCTGTTCTCAAATAAAGCATCCCCCACAGCCTTTCTCTTTGACATTTAAAGGTGCACAAGGTTGTAAGGTTAAGGTGGAAATTAAGAAAAAAGTTCTGGCAGTGAAAGCTGCTGCATTGAAATAACCTTTTAAAGAAAAACATGGAAGTTCTCCTGACCCAGACAAATGAGAAACGTCTCCTATAATCTTTCTGGATATGAGAGAAGAACCTTGTTTTTCTCTTGCTCCTCCACTTTTGTTATTGGGTTGAGAAAAGCATAGAGTAGCATGTTTTAATGCTACAGTTAACCTTCAGTTTATTTTTTCCCCAAGTGCACATAGCAGAAAAACCTTAGTACCTTGGCAAGCTCATGAAGAAACCATTATTTTTGTCTTATAGGTTCTCTACGGACCTTGCTCTGTTTCTAGAGTGAGCTCGTTTTTTTAATTTTAAATAGTGTCTGTGTGCACCCAGCCAGTGTCACTGGTGACACCTCTGAATGGCTGGCAGAATTCAAAGAGTGTGAGGGCAGCCAGGTAGTGTCCGCCTGCAGGCCTGTCAAAGTACCTGGGCCCTGCAAGGTGTTCAGACAGGTTGCCAAGTGAAAAAGGGAACGCTGGCCAGCTGGCTTTGACTGGTTCACGGGTCTAAGTGGGCCCTGTGTATTTCACGTTCAAACTGGAGAGTAGCTTCATGTCATGCATTCACATAGCTCTGTTTTTGTAATAAGCTTCGCCACGTCTTGACACCCTCACCCTTCAGTTCTGAAGTTTGATTCCTTTGCTTCAGCTGTCAGTGTTCGCTAAGTGGTCTCCACAGAGATGGTGGCCCAGTTGTAGCACTCATAGTTAATCTAAGCTGTCGTGTTAGTGGCAGATCTCCTGTTCATCTGACTATAGCAGTCTATACACCAAGAAGAAATTAGTGCTAAATTCCCAAAAGAGGTTATTTAATGGCTGTGCCAGGATTTATTACTAGCATCCCTTTTCCTCTTATGCTAAAATTCTTCCTAATATTTTTTGTTATTTGTAATTTGGGGGAATTATTACTTATATTATTCTTCACCTGTTGTACAAACCGAGTTTGAAGATTCTCTTTCCTGAGTGCATATGGATCAAATCCATTTTGGTAAAGGTCTTTTAAAATCTTTCTGTAATCGCTAAAAAGACAAACCAGCCCCCTGA